TGATAATTAGTTTTTTTTTTTTTGTTTGTTTGTTTGTTTGGTTTTATCAGCTAAAAGTCATTGGCGGAAAAAAACAAGGAGGCCCAGTACTTCATATTGTGGCTTATTAAGTTTATAGCAAATACTTTTAACATCAAGTTACTCAATTTTGTTAAATGTTTGTTGTCAACCAGTTAAGGAAAAAATAATACCAAAATTCTTCATTCTTAAAAATCTGAGTTGTTTATTTTAATATTTTCAAAAATATAAAAATTGTAAAATGTTAACTTATGACAATAATGTTTGAAGCATGCATATTTCATTATCACATACTACCCTCTACAAAAGTTTGTACCTAAACTACATTTTCCTCTGGTTTATTAATTGCATTACCAGTACTTGGTTGTAATGTTTTTCTTTTCTGTAAAGGTACAGTGTATTACTACAGGGAGATTCATGCACTTCAATGTATCCCAACAAGACACTGGGTAGTTAATCATTGTTTGAATTCAGATTTAAAATACTTTTCTAAGGTTGTTCTTCTCCACATCTTCACTCTTTTTAAGCGTGTTTAATAACCCTCTACTGATGTTACTAAGTCAAACATTAAGAGTTAAAGTGACTCACGTACATAATCTCAATAAAAAACATGCTGACAATTACCAAAATGCAAAGATTGGGGTCTTGTACTGACATGTAATACACCCTCTTGTTATGAAAATAACTGACACTTGGAGCAAGTGTTTAGTGACCCTTGGCAGATCTCCTTTTGGGTTTGGGTGCTGTAGTTGGCATTTCTGCTGTTTCCACAGACGAGGTTTTTGCACGCTTTAAACTGCTTATCCCATTTGAGATGGCAGTAGATTGTGTAGTGTTTGAACTCCTCTTCTTAGTTCTTAAAGATGTGCGTGGTTGTTGTTCTTGTTTCAAATCAGTGTTAGTCCCAACTGTCTTTTTCACAGAACTTCTTGTAACTCTGTTGGAACTTCCTCTATTTTCTTGTTTAATTGAATCATTGTTTGGTCCCACACTCTTTAATTTCTTTCTACCTCTTGGCTTGTCTGTGGCTACTGGAGGCGACTTTTTATTTCTCCCTCTAGATGGCTTTTTGACCTGAGAAAAGGAAGCACAGACTTCTTTGTGCTGTTTTTCCCCAATAAATTAACAGCATTCACATGACACCACTCTCATCTTACAGTAATTTCCATATTTCACACACCTCACTTATTATATTTTTCAACATTTAACATTTCAATTCACCTTAGTTTTCGTGTCCACCACTTCCGAATTTTCTTCTTCCTTTTTAATTTCATACTTTTTGCCTTTTGCCCTTTTTATTACACCTCTTGATTTTTCCTCTGATAGAAAAGAAAAAATAGCATTAAGCAAATTCCTCAGAGAGTTGGATTGATCTACATAGCTAGTTCCATTAAGAATGAGCCCTAAATCTGTTTCCTGTTACACAGATTTCTGCCTCAATCTAAAACAACTACCTTTTAATACAAGTGATACCTTGAGACTATCTAAAATGTAATCTCTCAAGTTTCTTTATTTTAATTTCTACATCACGCAAATGACCCTGAAAAAGTTGGAATTCTGACAAAAGTCTGAAAAGTCTCATCAGTGCTTTACCTTTAGGGGTCATTGGGCCAGCTGGTCCACTGAACCATATAGTTCTACCATTATGATCAACCATGTTATTCATGCTGGTGTTGTAGTAGCAACGCAGCCAACTGGCAAATGCATCATAATCATCAGATCTTCCCTCAGGATCATAGCCTTTTCCACCTTAAAATAAACTGATGGCTTAATAAGGTTATTGATATTTGCCGTCTCATTACAAGCAAGCTACTTTAAGGACGAGTCAATATTAAAATTTAAAGCATATATCGTAATTCCCTTGGTATCTCTCAAATTTTCAAAATGCTATAGGACAAGAAATACTTATTATAAACAAATGTATCTATGCAACAACATTCTTAGTACATTTATAAATGCCATACTTCGTACCTAGATTTATAACTTCATGAGGTAGAATATTGCAAAGTTCAAGAATATCTGGTATCTCCTTTTTCACTTTGCTGTCATGGGTCAGTGGCTCCAAGACAGAGCGAGCACCTTCAAATGGAGGGATTCCCAGCCTAAAATGGGTACACAAGAGATAAAGAACATGAAAAGTACACCCTTGTTTTGACTTGCTATACTCACTTTTATTATAAATGTTGTGTTAATGTAATGTGGGTGGTTAGCTGATGTATATATAGCTCTGTCACTAACGTGTGACTGTAGCGCACATGACGTGATTTATAAGAAACTACAAGTACATGCCAAAGTCATGGTCAGGAGATATCCCGGGATTTGCGGTACAGGGAGTCTAGAATGTGAATCTTTAATTTGGTCATTTAGAGGGAGTCCAACCCAAGCAAGCTCAACCAACCAATAAATACAGGCCATCTTTTGAGGCTAATGGTTGGATGGCTCTCTGGGGAAAGCCTTGGTCATGGTATATAGTACATTTATATAATTATACTTCCATGGTTATGCAAGATGCAAGGCATGTATATAGAGATGTAGGTGTACAGTCCATATCAGACACTGTACTGTATATATATATATATATATATATCAGTGCTAATCCATAAATTTCATGCTGGTACCTGTATAAAATTTCTGCTCTCAGATAGTTTCCAATACCATTGAAAAACTTTTGGTTCAACAGTGCTTCGCATATTGGCTTGTTAAATGCAGCATTTTTCAAATTATTCAACACATTGTCCCTACAAAGAAAATTAAACATTAAACATAGTATATTCATATTGCATTCATTTTTAAAACACACTGTTAAAAATTTAACATATGAAAATTTTAAGTACTGGCTATAATACTGAGTCTACGTGCAACCACCTAAATAACTGCATTTGTAAATATTTAACCCACCTGAATTTGTCATATTCAAACATAACGCACGGTCCCCTGTCAGCACCCCAACTATCCGTGACTTCCCAGCGTCCAAAGCGTCTGTAGTCGACAAAACTCAACACCTGCTTCGGCTCATCTCTGGTAAAGAAATTAAGATGAGCATGCTTGTGCATCTCATTGACTGCAGTGAACTGAAATTTACCTGACATTCCGAATCTAAACAAAATGTTAATGGATTCATTTGGTTTTGGTTTTTTGCTCTTCGTTTTTTGCGTATCCGTTGAGGTGAGAGTCAAGCGAACTTCCTTCCCACGAGAAGTTGCACTGATTGTATAAGCTTCCGCCGGCCATGGAATTCTTACAGTCGGCATGACGTCACAAGATGGCCGCCACGCCCGGACTAGGGTAAAACAATCTGTAAGCTCCATTGCTCCCCATGTTAAAATGATCAACTTTGATCGTCTGTATCTCTCACACCGGTAGATAATTAAACTTGACAACTGTTTAATTATATCACCATAGGTATTTAGTGTCAGGAAATGGCCATCAAGGACCTTTTCTAGCATTGATGCCGATTTTATCAGCGATTGAAATGCACCCACCTTACACTGTTATTATATGAGCTGCAGTTAGTTCTGATTGTTTTTCAGGTAAGAAGTTCCAATGGCTTTGTTATCGGATGAATCTGTCCACTGACAGCGATTGAACAGAACTTACCTGGATCCTCAAACAATCATAGAGCCCTTTGAGGTGGTTTAATTGGAAGAAAGTGATCTTATCAGTTGGTGTCATTGTAGCAAATAGAACTAAAACAGATATGATCTTCACAGGTGTGGTCATTTATTTGTCTTTGAAAAGGGGAGCTGAAAGAAAGCTCTAATGACAGTTTATTAGTCTGATTTTATTACTGAAAGTACATGCCATTGAGAATTTGAACAATTTTTTCTAGTAATTTTTAATACCCATGTTGCTGCAGACATTCAGAATTGAGATCATGGACAGGAATAAAACTTTTACATACTCAATAAATCATTTAATTATTGTATTATGAAGTGTGTAAATGGCAATAATGTGCTATTGGAACAGATAACTAATACTTTTTCTATGTGATGTTGTACACTTTCATCAAGAGGATAGAATGCAAGAAAGGCTATCAATGCACATACTCCAGTATATGAACTGGAAGAAACAAGCGGGTGGAGCTGTTTGCTGAGTAAAATCTATTAACCCATGCAATAAGAAAAGACACTCAGCAATCAAATTTTTGTTATGGATTTAGTTTTTTTATCCTTTGGACACTACTGTTATATTTGCTTAAGTTTTTTATATCATAGAAATTCTAATTCATTTTTACTGTACAAATGTTTATTCAGAATGCAACTTTACAGCATATGTCAAGGAATTTTATAACTCCTTACATTATAGATAGAAATAAAATGTAAATTTAAAGTCAACAAGTTTTATTGTATCTTTCATTTTGCATTTTGTTTAAGAATTCAAAGTGATTTACGACGGTTAAATATGCATTCAATTCGGATTTTTATAGATCGTACTTTGTATTGTGATATTGAGTCTGATGTTCTAAAAATGAAAATGAAATAACTACCTTATAAATTTATATTATTTTCTAAAAAAAAAAACACCATGAACTTCATTTAGCATCAGAGTCAAAAATGATTTGTAGATTTTGACAACTTAAAAAGATTTAAGTGAGGCTTTCATTCAAAACTTTTTTGTTTAATTGGATAATTATGGATGAATCTATTTATGAAAAATAATTTTGGCAGGCCTCTTAAAAAATTGTTTACGTTTTTGCAGAAATTATAAAAGCTGAAAAAGTATTTCATAGTCTCTTCAAACATAATTCCAGGCAACAGTAGAAAAAGAAATTTTAATGAAAAACACAGCAGTGACAAATTAAAATTCTTTTTGAAAGCACATTTATTGCATTACTTGAGACACCTGCTTTGAACACGACAGGTGAGCAATGTCTACTCCCTTTTCTAGCTTATCAAATCTTTCAAACTGAGACCTCTAAAAGCAATATGAATGAAATAGTTTTCTTTGTTTAGATAATGATTTTATTATACAAGAATTCTGACTGTATATTAATGAACTGGGTGCGTATAGGTCATAGTGTCCCAGTAGGAAAAATTGCTTTAAAAATAGTACACCACCATCGTTGATAAAGTAGCCACTGACGCTAGAAAATCCTTTTGATGGCCATTTCCCTGAGCTAAATACGTAAGTGAATATCAACAAACAGTTGTCACGCGTATTTGTTCACAGATATACTTGATACAGACGATAAAATATGCCTATTACAACATGCATCTGGTGTAAACTGAAATTGCAGCCCGTTGGAGGAGTGTTGGTATTATCGCTGATAAAATCACCATCAGCTCTAGAAAATCCTCCTGAGGCCCATTGACTGACGCTACAAACCCTAGTGAATATAACCAAGTGGTTGTCACAAGTAATTGTCCTCTGGTCTGCTTGATATGAACGATCAAAGTTCACCAATTTAACATTGAGAGTAATGGGCGCAAGCCAATGTTTTACCCTAGTCCAAAATGAGAGCCTCGTTCTGGGTTCAGTAATCCTGTAACCGACTGTAAGAATGTCAGGGTTTTTCGTGCTAACTTCCGATTTGACGATCGGTCCAGCGAAAACTCGACCTTTGCAAACTTCATTGACAAAATGGCTAGCAAGATGCAGCTCTGGACCTTCTGGCATTTTCAATCCAACTATGTAGCTAACTTTTTGAGTTTAAATCTGGCTTCAACGCGAGCACGTGTTGCGGTGACTACTTTGTTTACATCGAAGAGAAATAGCCTCGACTACGTTATGTTACATAAATTAATAAAACTGCCAAATTTTCTCCAACAAAAATTTAGGTAAAATAGTCAGCATTTTGTGACATAAAGCGTTATTTATTTATTTATTTATTTAAGCATTTGGTGGTATAACCATTTGTGTTTTTGTTAGAGATAAAACAAAAATGTACTGACTCTCATAGAGAGTATGAAGGTCGTGATATTTCAATGAGATCCAGTGAATGAGATCTATAATAACCCATCCTGAACTTTCATAGTCGAGTATCAATTGATCATCATCATAATAGGCAGACAAAATTCTACTGCCAGACTTACATGATCTCGATGTTCCAATGAAAGAAATTAAATTTGACAAATAGCAAAAGGCGACCTAATGTTTTTTCTTACACCCATTGCCATAGATTTTTAGATCGATCTATCCCTGTGGGGAGTCTCACTAGATTACTGTCAGCTTGGCCGGCTTAAGCGTCTGTCCCGCCTACTAAAAGCTGTAAGGTGGTAATTAACTATGGTGTCCGCTCGGCTGACTGCAATTTAGCTTGACCCCCAGGGAGTTAGGTCGATCTAAAACTTAACCTTTAGATCGATCTAAATCTCTGGGAAAGCACCCTTACTCTTTGGTTCAGACAGCTCCTTAGTTCAGACAGAGAATTATATCGTCTACGATATAATTCCCTTGTTCAGATCACGATTTAGAATGAAATCCTTCAGTTAGCAAGAACAGCATCTGTCTTTAGGCCTACTCACTATTATTTATTTATTTTTTTATTACAAACCAAAGGTATAAAAAGGCCAAAAAATTAAAAACATCCATTTAATATCGTGAATTAGTACGGGGGGATTAATGATTATTATATAATGCTATTGTTATTATTATTATTATTATTATTATTATTATTATTATTATTATTATTATTATTATTATAGCTTTTACATGCGTCGATCACGACAATGAGCAAGAAGGTGCATGTAGGCCTATATATTTGTTTGAATTTAGATTATAAAAACATGTTGCCTCATTCAACATCAAACGTAAAAAAAAAAAAGTAATACTAAATACCTATATATGTGAGCTTGTAGCCTATTTGTTTTCACGGTAGGCCTACATACCATAATCGTTTAGTTTTCATGCACGTTTTTAACCGCCAGTTTTACCAATTTTCTTTGTATTAGGAATATTAACCATGAGTGAAATACCGTATTTGACTAACGAGCTCTGCTTCAAAAGCAAACAAACCCATTCATGACCAACAGTATTTATGGGGCACTGCATTTATTTGGGAAAATTAACCTGCGTGCATGGTACTTGGTTATGCAAGCATTTTACAGTTGAAGGAACAACAGGAGGGATAATGTTATGAAAATAATGCAGTAAAGATCATAAATAAAGATCGGGATAGGACAACAAAGGGAAAAGAAGAAAAGGTATAGAATAATTACCACTATTGTGCTTGTCCCAGCAACATGTACAAATGAAGTGACCGCGTGGAAAAACAGCCAGTGATCCGTTGCTGGCAGTGTTACAACAGTGTTACAAGGGAAAGAAGAGAGGAAATTAAGGGTAAAGATGCCACGTTATCGATTCTTGCTAGGAGATTTACCGATGTTTGAATACCAAGTACCAGGCAAGTTTTTCTGCAAATAGCGATAGTCCCACAGGTACGACCATCAAATAAAACGACGAAGTTTATTGACATAGCACTGAATACGATGCTAAGCCGACCCCAGCTACTTGAAAGAGATTGATCCCGATCATCACCATAACAACGTTTACATAGTCTACCTGAATTCACGACAGGAAGAATACAGGTGCTCGTTTGTGTTCGGAACCAGTGTCTGTAGCACGTATTGATTATGGAAACGACATTCCGTTCTGGATTTGTTCGGTCTATTTTAATAAAACTGCTAGGTGATAACACAGATGCACAGTTGTATAAAGGAGTGTGACATTTCCAGCGTATTTCAGTCATACTCTAGTCGCTGTCTTGTAAGGTAAGATCAATACGATGTAAAGTATTATGTGGCTTTAACCACAGCGTAGAAAAATTCTACCCGTTTTTTTATTATTATAATTATTTTATTCAGTAGATTTTTAATGCGAGAGGAAATAAATACGTCACAGTGTGTGTTACAATGGTTGCAAGGTGTAGCTCTAAATAAGCAAGGGGTCTATGTCAATACTCGCAAATCAGGGCAAATTGAGGACCAGAAACGGGTTCACTTTAAAAAAATGAACACAGATTGGTATTTAAAACAAGTTTGAAATCATAATCGAGAACGACAGTGGCCGAATATTGAGGAAGTGGTAAGTGACCAAAGATAACGGAGGCACGTATTCCATTCTATCTTTATTTGAGTACAGGGTATTGGCAAATTTAGATAAAGGTGAATGTGATAGGATAGGTTAGTCTCAAGCCTCGCCTGAATCTCTCTCTATCACCACACAAGTATTTTTTAATTTAGTAACAAACAAGGCGGAGACTATACAATGTTATTAGATTCTGAATCATTATGGGTGTCTCGCTCTTCAGGAAGGTTTTAACGCACTGTAAAAAGAGATTGAAAGTAGAACCTCAGTCAACGCAAATGATCATGTGTTTCACACTATCCATATTTTAAATATATTTCGAACCGTAACGTTCTATGGTTATTTGTAGTTAACAACACATATTGTCATAATATTTGCTTGACGGATTAAATGTTAGAAAACATCTTCAAGTCCCAAACATCTCCAGCCGGTTACTAATATTTATTGTTGATTTAACTGATATCAATAATCTAAACTGCTAAATGATACGTATACATGATATAGCGTTAAAATATGAAAACCGTGTAAATGTCCTTCAGAAAAAAGCCCTCATTATTCTCTACTTGCGATCCTTCGGTTTTTAAATTAGTTTTTAATCAATATTGTCACTATTCAGAGCGCTTGAATCCCATAGTTGATATAACTTTGTTTTAAGAACTAATGTCTAGTATGTTATTACAAGTTTTCTCTCATTTCATTTCAGGTGAATATATACCAAAACAGGGGTTATCAAAGCGAATTCCTCCAACATGAGTTCTATGTACATCCGCATTCAAAAAGACACTCCGTCGTCTAAAATGTATGGCTTTCAAAAACTTCACTGGGACGACATCAAGATGATAACGAGTAGGATGCAAAAGCACACCTTTAACTCCAGATTAGGACTGAATGAAATGGCGCAGTGCAAAGCAACACAGGGTAGGCCCTCACACTCATCTCCATCGCCAGTAACTTGCGATCGGCAGAGGAAAGTGAAACACCGGCACGCAGGGTCTCACAGTGGAGGCGACTACTGGCAAGGATACCAATTACAACATTACGACTCGGACCAGGAAGATGACGATTCCAACCTTCACAGCGACCAAATGACGCAAAACTCGTTGCACTCTCCCCCAAGCGCATCATCTTTTACCAACAGGAAAATGTCAAAAAAGAACATAGACCGGATAGTTAATCGCCTGTACTCAACCCCGACTTTGAGCAGTGCTCTCGCTGCTTCGGGTGTGGGTTATTACTGTGACGTGACTAACATGGACCCAGTGGCAAAGTATGCAATAACCAAACCACGCCCAAAGTCAGCCCCTGTGCCCAGTGGAAGTGCAGGTACACTGCTCTTCCAGCGCCCCACGACAGCTTACAGAGGAAAGCAAGTAGGATCCTGTCAGTTTTGCGATGACGACAAAACTGACAAATCCGTTTTTGAAAGAAATTATTCAGACGATAAAGTTTACTTCGAAAGTGAACTGGAAGAGATAGTTGAACGTATCCGCACACCTACCCACGCAAGCGAAGGTGGGATCCCAAAGTGTAAGAAAAGCACTCCCTTTGTACTAGAACATAAGGTTATTGCAGCAGAGCCCGAACCGAAATCATTTGATTTTAGACCAAGAAAGAAACGTAAAACGAAAGAGGAACCATTACCCCTCATAAGCGGTCTAAGAAGAAGTGCAAATGTGTCAGAAATAGTCAACAGGCTGTATACGCCTCAAAAGAGAACTGCAACTGCATGTACTCCAGTTTCTTATCCAACTGCTCGTTGAACTTGGGTGAAATGTACCGTCGTGTTCATTGAAATCGAATCATTGAAACTTTTGCGGTTTTATCGCTAGTCAAATTGTTCCACGCAAACGATCGTAAAAGACAAAGTTGGGCTCAACACATTAAGGCATTTTCAGTTTTAGATTTGTGAGGTACAATACATAAAGGGATGTGGTCAGTTTCCACTGGTGCATGGTGTGAAAAGATCCTATATACCTTTCTAGTCATTAACTGACTTTGAATAGTGTTGCAATATCTTATGCATGTAATAAAAGCAAGAAAAGTGATCATATCCATTTCAACTATTTTATTAATGTAATATTATATGGATTGAAAAATTATAATAGCAAGGCATAATTTTTTTTTACAGAAACTCATCATTCTAAGCACACACAGTTTTACTGAGCAGGGTGGGGCGTTTCATCGCTTTCGATTTATTTCGATCTTTTGGGAATTTGATAGCAATATCTTAGAATTGAAATCTTTTTATCAAATTCACCATTCTATGGGTGGCTTTTGCGGCAGTGCTTTTACAACCTACGGTAAGGCAAAATATTGTAGAGCACAGAAATCTTGTCCCTGTGGGAAAAGGACGTGCGACCTTCTTGTTTCTGGTGTTAAGTCGTCATAAAATTCCACAGTCCTTTCTACCGCTTTTCTAGTAAGGCGAAACTTAACAAAAATGTCACTGTCGGTGGTGGACTTTAAAAAATACTCTCCAAGGTGAAACTTTCGCGGTGTGTCGCCATCCGATGACACCGGTTAGCAGTCAATATATTTCATGAAGACAAAACACAGTAACTAAGCAGCCTTTTATTTCATTTCTTAAGCATGCGTATGATTAGTCCAAGGTCTGACCACCTCACTTATTAGCCAGTGGTGGGACAATAACGATAGCTCCGTGAAATGCACCCGAGCTTCAGAGATAACTTGAAACGTACCTCTACACTATGTGATACCCTTGCCGTTTTAAGTCTCTGAAGCTCAGGGTGCGCGTTTGCATAAGTTGACAGAAAATGTGAGTGCTACAGCATCAACTTTTTTTATTTATTTGTCTCCTCTGATTCAAGTTCTGTCAGATAAGTCAGCTTAGAAAGGCTAACAGGTTTAACTTTCAAAACTTCAGCCACATTAACATCGTCATCAAACCAAGCCGTCACATGAAATGAATCAATGGCAAAATAATACAGTTTGTCAGTACACTTCGTCCTTCGGTATGGTGACCTTGGATCTGCTTGTAAAATTTTTGCTATGGCATTTTTTGCATCTTGTACAGAATCAAAGTGAGAAAATACATAATGGGGGTTAGATGAGCTTTTAGAAAACATTTCAAGTTCCTTCGTGGCAGTGGGGCTAAATCTCACATCAAGTTTTGAAATGGGTGGAGCTGAAATCCACCCAGCTTGTGTTATAGCTTCAGCGGAGGTCAGCAGATCACTACTCAGTTTTTCTTCCTTGACGTTCATTTGAGTTTGGAAAGCTGTATTTTCATCACTTAAACTGGTATCTGTGATACAAACGTTATCCAATTGTGACTCTCCCTGTTGGTTTTTATCACCACCACGTGACATACACATTTCTGTGGGTTGTAAAAATGACATTTCATCTTTTATGCCAATATTTTTACTGTGAACATCACTATCAAGTTGAAAGCATTGTTTAATTTCCTTGTTCACATCAGACGCCCCTTGCTGCTCGTGTTGCCCATAAGATCTAGGAAGATCATAGTCATATATGTATGGTTTGATGTCCAACACAGGAGTTCCATCTAGCATATCTATCCCTGAGATATATATTGTAGCACCTGAAAAAAAAAGTCTGAATTCCTTTGCATTCTTTTACACATTATCACTTTTAAAAAAACTAAAATTATACTTTTTATGTACATGTATAATTACTTAATGTATATTTTATAGATACTCTTCAATTCCTTTAAATAACATACCTTCTATCTTTTCAATTTTGGCCAACGTCAGCCCAATAGGGTTTGGGCGATATGGACTTCTCGTTGAAAAAACTCCAACTTTCACACCATTCAGTCTCGGTGGTCTAACTTTGGCTTTTGTGTATTTGTTATTATTCATGTGAAACAAAAACATAACCCTGGAAGACAAATATCCAGTGCAATGGCATATACCTATAATTATCAATTCAATTTCATCGTTTTACAAAATCTTTCCTATAATATGTTGAGAGAAAAAGTTCTTGAAGAGAAAAAAGATGTTTATCATACCACTTACCATATGTGTGAAAATGCTTCCAAACCATCTAATGCATGCTCTGGATTTGGAAATACTGACTTAAGGATTGTCAGAGAGCCTTTGGACTGGGCACAAATGGATGGCTGTCTGGGGGTGCCATTCTTCTGTTTGAAAGGGGAGCTGATAAAACCAATAGGATTCATCTGGACTTTTTTCACTCAAAACTGAAAGAAATAAGTTAAACACAGCTGCATATTCTCTAAAAAAATTAAGAAGCCCATGAAAGGCTAACAGGCTGGAGTAATACCAGCCTGGTTATAAAAATCCTGGCACTTTTAATATATCCCCTAGCAGGAAGTTCATGCATTAACACGCCTACTGATGATTTTGGGTATGTACACTTTGTTAAGGCATGAAAGCAAAGGCCTTAATAATTGTAAAATGACGACCAGAGGCACTTTTGCAGTGTCCCCCCCCTCTCCCCACATATAACTACTTGATTTTCTGTACCTTTCTCTAAATTATTTTGTGCAATGATTCTGAGCAGTATTTCTGCTATTCTGAAAATAAATAAATAAAAAAACAATCAAATAAAATAAGCATGGCAATTAATTCATTTACCTATTTAATAATGTTTTTAACATGAAACATTAAGGTATCCAAGAGGCATCACTGGGGTAAAAATCAATTTAATTGCTGTAATTATTACTCAAAGATAAAAAAGTTTTTAAAAAATTCCAAACAAAATTATTTAAATAGCAGAGACATTGATCAAAGTTACCACATGACTTAATTTTGATTAAGATTAAAAATTAGAGAGTTATTGAGTGGGGAACCCGGAAAGTACTGGTACCGAAAAAGTACATGTACAGTATACCGACCAGTTTGCGCATCAACCGGGAGCTCCCAGAATTATATCTTACATCTCATCTCCTCAACTCGCACACTCCAGTTTCCCCGTCAACAGTGCTAAGTTAACACCTGACATTCGTGTCATACATTCCCAATTACTTTCAAATCTATGATGTTCAATATACTTCCTTTAAATTCCAGCTATGCGTTGAAATTGATCAGTGCGTCTGCTAATTTTCGAGCCAAGAGCAAACGTTTTTTTTTTTTTTTCAAGTGGAGAACAGTGGTTGCTGTCAGTACTGATGCTCAGCAAAGTGTCTGGGGTAATCCTATGGAGAGGGTCGAAACGGCTATTTTACGATAGTACGATAGTACTGTACTCAACGTAGACACTCAAAAATTTAACGTTATCGGACAGGGGTAATAGGGCGCAGCCATATTAGAAATACCCGGATGAAGTAAAGGAAGTTGCGTACATATCTGCGTAGTGATCATGACAACAGTTAATTGTAGGACAAGTAATTAGACCTTAACAGACAAAATGTGAACCGAAATTTGACGTTTAACGTGAAGATTAGCCACTGGTATGTTTTTTCCATTGTATCTGATGAAAGAGAAACAATAACATGTAAGAAATTAACTGTTTAGGAGAGTAAAATTGGTGGTCGCCAAGATAAACAAGATGGCCGTGTCCAGTGGCGGAGATGTCAAACAGAAGTAGACGCACATCGTTTAATGTTAAATTATGTAATTAAGATGTAAAAAAAATGTTTTTTTTCTAGGTCAAGTATGTATTTTATAGTTTTGAAGTTATGACACTTTTAAACTTACAGCCAGAACCTGCAAATTAGAACTTGTACAATTTGTAGTTGTTCAGAAGCACTGGCAGTGCTTTCCAAGTAGTTAGCACGAAAAGCAATCCTGTTTACGGTTTCTGATATGTATGCTGTGCTAACGCATGAACTTTGTGCTAGCAAGAGGACTATGAATGAACTAACAGAGACTCAAATATTTCACCAGTAGCTAGCCTTTGACTGATAAGTATTAACTTTTGTACATGTACAGGTACTAGTACAGTTTCTCACTTTTAACAGGCATGTATGGTTGATTTTCAAGCAAAATGGCAAATCTTAAAACTCCGCGAAGTGCAGGAATGAAGTTCCAATTCACAAAACAAAAGAAGCCATTTGCCTCGGAAAAGCGAGAAGATGATACCTATCCAATGACAAATTTCCCTGTAACACAGGTAATATAAATGTTAGTTTTATGTAAGGAATATAACAATAGAAATTGATTTTATTGAAGTCATTGCTTATATCCTAATAAGTAAAATGCCTTCATTTTATAACATAGTGTATTGTACTTTTAATAGTGGAGAACAATTAATGGCTGTACCACAATACTGATACCAGCAGAACAAACTTTCTTTCTTTCTTTCTTTCTTTTGTCAGTTAATTTTTGATTTTCAATAAAAAAAACCATAACAATATGTATTATTTTAATATATTTCAGGAGGAAATCAAAGACCGTTATGAAGGTGTCATGGGTCCTCTTAGTATATTTGCGCCTTATCCACATGAAGATGGTTAGTAGAAATGTAGGAATTCAGTAGTACGTAGTAGTAGAAATAGTAGAAATAGGAGTATTATTTATGTTAATCATTTATCTTAAATAAATACACATTGTGTTACAGTAATCAACATTTTTTTTTTGGTTCAGAGGTATGATTAGGTGTTACAAAATATGTTCTTGAACAATAAATCAAAAGTGATATAAATGGTTTTTGCAATATGTTTGTTCCAGAGCCCCCTCCAGAAACAATACAAATGGAAAGACCAGTTACACCCATTGATGTATGTATGGTGTTTATAAAAGCAATTAATGTAACAGTATGTGTGAAAAAAAAATTATTTTGATGTGAAGATTTTTTATATGTATAAAATTGGACGGCTTGAATACATATTATCATCAATGTATTACATTAAAACATATAGAATATAGAACTTGATTGGTTAAAAGAGATTGATAAAGTATGTTTAGTATAGATAATCGTTACTTAAACAATAATTCAATCAAAACAAAGCATTTCAATGAAACATTTGTCCTTAATTACAGGAGGAAATCAAAGCCCCACCATCTGATTTCAATGTTTTAAGAAAATACATTCGTAGGAGGGTGGCTGCTAAGCCAGAGGTCCAGCATCTGACCATAGAAGAACAACAAAGTTTGGTAGGTGTTGTCTTTCAATATATTTCTGTGGAAACACCTTTAAGATTGAAACCGGAGACAATGTAATTTTTTTTCTTCTATGATAATATTTGTATGGTTTGTAAAAAGGTTGAACATGCAAAGATAAAAACTCTTGAAAAATATTTCATAATTTCTTCAAATTATGCATTTGTATAAATAACCTGAATTGTGCTTTATAGTTGAATTGATATTTACTCTAAGTAAAGTAATAGGATTTCTTATTATCTAGGCTGGTGTTCTGGTTGGTGAGGTAAATGGAATATGGAGAGACATCAGGAGACAAGTAGATGATCCATTTCTGGTAAAAATGGCTTTGAAGCAAGCAATTTAAGTAAACACTGGTAAAATTTCTTGATGATTTGTAATCATTTTTTGTGACTTATGAGTAAATAAATGGAATTGTATTTTGAAGAAAAATGTAAATCTGTTTTAACATTAATATTTAAGAATATTTTATTTTTTCAGACACCAGAGCAAAACAAAGAGTTACAGAGAAGAATCACTGTTCATATTGTGACTGTCTGTGAAAAATTGTTCAAGCATTTTTTAGAAAAAGCACAAAGTAAGAGTACTCAGTAGTTATGTTTTTCATAATGCTACATTTCTTAGCAGATTTGTGCAGTTGGTTTTAGCTTGTGTGTGTGTGTGTGTGGAAAAAGTTCATCTAACTTATCAAATTCATGTGATTTATGTCAATTCCATGCATAATTTAAATCTTTCATTTTTTCTTCCAGTTTTGAACAAAAGGGGTGTCTTCAGTGGTCCTGCAAACATGAGTAGACTCAAAGCACAGCTTGCTTTGGATGCTGACAAATAGTAAGAATTTATGCATTTTACAATTCATCATTTTTTGAAAAAACTTAAATGCTGATGCATATTTACCCACTATCACCTGATAAAACATAAAAGTATTGAAAATATGAAAATATGGTCAGAGTTTGCATGTTACAGAGGCATTTATTTTCAGTTTGAATATCCTCACTATAAGAAGATACATAGTTGGAGATCTAAGAAGACAAGCAGAAGATATAGAGGATGAATCTGAGGAGTACATCTATCCCAGTAAAAAGGAGTCCATGGTAGAAGAAGCTGTCCCAGAAATATCATTCAAAGGACTGGTAAGTTTACCTTTCTGATGTACGTGATATAAGGCGGTATTGTATAAATGGATGTCTTTAAGTTGTTTTTAGATTTTTCACTAATTTTCATTATTACTGAATTTTGGTGCTAAAAGAAATGTTGAGAAAGAATCCTGTGCTGTGCTGCAAACCAGGGGCAGAAGAGTGCCCAGGCTGAATTATGAAAGAAATGTACAGTTATGTGAGTTAGCCAGTGATGGTAAAAACTATTTTCAGGTCTTTCCTAACATATATAAGTTGTATAATGTACAGCATTACAGACCCTTACAGACAATCCAAGTTCCTTTGGAAAATATTGCTCAATTTCACTGTTTTCTCTCTTAACTGAACATCGGCATTGTAACTAAAATGTTCATGTCTTTGAGATCATTAATATTCCCAAACTCTCATCTTTTTTAGTTTAACAGATAATCTGTTATAAAACTACACACTTTATGTTTCTAATGCACGTGGTGTCAGTAATTGTAATATTGGTAATTGGTCCAGTGGTTAATCATTAACAATTATATCTGTTTGTTATATATGGTACAGTGTACATTTGTATATGTTTGTTGTAAACGTTTGCATGTTTGTGAAATGTTAATAGTGTTGTTTAATTTTGCACAGTTGCCTCCAGGAATGGTAAGTGTCACAGCTCACTAACCCATCTGGTGGAGTTGACTAAACCCTGTGACTGTTGTCACCCTGTGCACTAATCCAAAACCTTAACCTGCCTTTTAGATAAACTCACAATATCTCATAGAACATTCTTTTTCAGACACATCTACTGCCATTCATGTTTCAGGGAACTTTTTTAGCTTTGGAAGACTTTTCAGTTAACTTTGATATTATTGCAGTAGAAATACCATTATAAATGTGCTTGCATGAAGCCTGGTGTTACTATTTATTTCATTTTAAAATTATTGGCAAGGTGTGTTTTAATGCTTATTATAGAACAGGGTCAAATTATGAATGTTTTTTTTATAGAAGAAAACATTGTAATATAGGGCTAGCTAGGACCTGTTGATTTCTCTTTACCCCAATAGTGGTATATATAGTTTGATAGTTTTTAAAAACTTTTATTTTTTGCAAATAGAGGAAAATGGTATCCCACACTAAAATTATTTGCCATGATAGTAAAAATAGCATCTGCTTTTAGACATATTTTATAAACCTGTCACATTATTTCTTGCTTTTTAAATTAGTTTTACTGTAGAGATGGTAGAGTAAGTTGTAAATATATACAGTATGTAGGTTTCACCTGTCATATCACAACAGTTAGTGTATACTTGTTCAGTATTGGCAGCATGATCAAAACATGTCAGTTACTGCCAAAGGGGTAGAATTGTCACAATTTCACTGATACTGATACTAGCTCACTATTTGGCAGATTCATACTTTAAGACCATGAATTAATAGTTTATCATCAATTAGTATATACATTCTTTGGAGTTATATGTATGTATATGCTACTTAAGCAGAATTGTTTTATGACAAATTGTAGAACAGTTTTGTTGTAGGAGGCTGATTTCACTTCAAACATATTTAAGTACTCTTATAATATTTTTGGTTATAGTATTATAGGGGTTTAGGTGGATATATTAGAAGTGATCCTAACACGTGGGCATTTACATTTTTGAAAAACATGTGTAGATACAAAAAAAAAACATTGATATGAAGATTCATATAAGTACCAGAGCACTGTAAATTTTAAAACTTTAATGAACAGCTACTAATCTAAACATATTGAACAATAAGATATTAATTTTTAAAATGATTCTTTTATTTGTTCCAAAAGTTTTTTATTCAAAATGGGATTGCCCATCTCTTTAGGCAGAAAGAAGAAAAAATAATTTCTCAGGATGAATGAAATTTGAATAAAATAGGTTAAAACTGGAATTTCAGATTGAGAGTAGTCGACCCAAAAGTAAAATTCAGAAGCATAGATTCACAACAGTTGGTGAAGATTTGGAAGAGGTATGGGCTTTAAATTTCTTCTTTACAAATAATAATGCCAATCTCTATTGAAAGGAGAAACATTAGAATTTTTTTAATTATAAAATTTTGAAGTTTCAACCATAATAATGATATCTTTGTATTTACACACTATTTTGCAAATTGAATGTATAATCATGTTTGGTCATATAGTGATCAGTGGTAGTAATTTATATTTAAATGGAATTGTGTTTTCTGTGCCTCATTAATAAAAGGTCAGTACAGTTCATGTGTACGTTTTCAGATTCAGTCCAGAATGCCCATCCTTGATACTTCCAAGCTGTTTTCAATTCTCGCTGACATTCCTGAGAGGAGTATGGCAACCCCAGTATCAGATGACATGACTAGATCTGCCAAGAAAACAACTGCTGTACAAAAAGAGTGAGAAAAAAAAACAATAGATATTTTTGATAGATATACTGGGTATTTCAAATTTGAATTACTTAACATAGATATCTTTCTCAAGTTCAAGTGTGTAAATCAATATTCCTAAAAAGTTAAGAAAAACATACACAGTGAAGTACTATCTGGACAAATTTACAAATTCAGAGGCTTGATATAGCAGCGTTAATTTAAATTCAAGATAATAATGAAATGATTTTTTTCAGAAATCCAGATGCTGCTAGTATACAAAAGGTGCTTTTAAAGGTAAGTGTTATGAAAAAATATAAGCACTTTTGTTCTGTTGAGCTTCAGTTGAAAGCATGTGCTCAGTAAATGAACTCTGACTCAAGCAGAAGGGATGCACATTATATGTTATTGATAGTATGATATGAAGGCTCACACTGTGCTCTTCATTGGTTTACATATTATTTACTTCATTTCAGAGATCACATTCCCTTCAGCGGCTCCCAGGAATGGGAGAGACATTACTGGAGGAGCTTGGGATAAATTTAGATGAAACTAGAAGTACTGTGACAGATAAAGCTGAGGCAGCCCTAGAAATGAGATCCATTTCTGGAAAATCTATTGTAAGTGCAAAAAAAGTAACATCATTATTATTTTCTAAGTAAAATATCATTTGGTATTCAGATATGGCAGATAAACTTAACTATGCTTTAAGAATTTTAATTATACACATACAATATTATAATCAGATATGAAGTTCAAGACTAATTTTAAAGAAATAGGGGGCAGCTTGAATTATGCTGTTTAAAGTTGGATCTGAAGTAAAATATCATGCCTAGAAATATTGTATGCTTAATTCCCACAAAATTTGATTGGCTTGAATTTTAATGCCTCCCTACAAATACATAAACTTTTTAGTAAAAAACGCAAGATGAAGACAAGTGTGGAGATAAATTCTTTAATGTTTGTGTCCATTAGATTTCAGAAAAGAAGGAGACAACACGCCCTTGCACGCGGCAGTTTCTTCGAAATGATCTTGAGAAACTGGTTCAAAGGCAAACAGCACAGGAACCTGAGGATGCTGATGCCTTGCCTCCATTACTACAGGTACACTGCTATTAGTTCATTACACTCATGTTATAGGCATTTTTTTAAGTCCTGTAATTGTACTGCAAATTATAATTACATAATAAAATTATGTTTTCTTTCTAGGCTCTCTTAAGGCCTGCAAAACATGATGGCAAGAAAGCTATTTTAGATAGGCAATTGAAGCAATTGGAAGAAAAACAACAAATTGAAAAGGAAAAAGACAAGTAAGATTTAAAGTTTATTTATTATTGCAAGGAATATATGTATAAATGTATTTATGCATTTTTAATTTGTTTATTACCTGATGCATGTTTACAAAATATTTTTCATGCACACAGATTTGCATTTGTAATATATGCTTGTTTGAATATAATTGTTAAAGCCAAAGCTTTATGTCACAGATATCTTTCACCAGTACATCTTGATTATTTGGATACTGTAATTATGTTTCATACTCCTTTTGTATTCAGTTGTTTTCATTCATGCATTATTAAGCATTGAGAGAATTTGTGGTTTGGTTGACATACATGTAGCACAGAAAGTGCAAAGTTAACATTAGATTATTATTGTGATGCATGTGCATGTAATGTTTGTGAGGTTGAAAAATTTTTTATAATTTTTATATTGATGAGATGTCACAAATTACTTGCACTGCACTGTGTGTTGTTTTATTCAGTGTTCCTTTACAAGAGCCCACACATCCACAGCCAGCTACAGTTTCATCTAAATTGCCCAATAAAGTGAGTATCTGGCCCATGTGGAGAAATGTGAAGTAGGAAGGTTTGCAGTCAACATTGAGCTTCAGATATTTGATAGAAGATAGATATACATTTTAAAAAACCTATCAGAAATAAATGCTTAAATAAATAATATTATTTAAATTGTAATTTCTTTGTGGTGTGCAAAATCCGGAATGGTGTCCCAGTATGTAGCATGCAGTTTTGTCTGTTTTCAAATTTCAGCTGTTTAACACGATGAAACCCACAATCAGGTTAACTAGTGCTCACCAGTACAATGTTTTACATCCGATTAAACATGTAATAAAATAATTTTATAAGACAGATGAACCTTTCTTCAATGCATTGAATATTACAGATGGTTGTGCGGACATCAGATGTCAGAGTGTCTGAGAGAGTTTGCATGACCTCCATTACCCTCCAGAAACATAATCCTGTCTACAATGACCTGACTGATGAGGTATGGACAGTTCCATGAACTTATACTTTAATGCCTTTTTAGGTTGGAGACTACATATACTAAATATAACTGAATAGTAACTTGTATATAAGATCATTGAAGCAATATTTATCTAGCACATTGTTGATTTAAATAAACTGTTTCTAAGTTACTAGTGAATTGTTATAATTTCCATAGCTTTGCAATATATATCTGAAAAAAAAAGTGACACATATAGTTATTGTCTCTTTCATCAGATTGATCAGGCAACTGTGAAAAACTTGGACAAAAACTTATTCCTTGGTGAAGAGATCAAGGAAGTATATCGTGAAATAATGAAGACAGTGCCGTCCACTCACTTAGATGTTGAACAGGTATATTACTGGCATATGTGTGAATCCTTAACATATTATATATCTTCGATTTTCATGAATGCAAATATTGGTCTGTAAATATATAAGATGGAATATATATTAATTTTTCATTGATAAACTGTTATCTCGTTTTGCAATTAGAATATATAAAAGAAATTCCATATGTCCTTTCAGACCTTTTTTGGCAATACGTTTGTCAGCTTGAATTTTTTCCCACCATTTCAGGATGAATTAGTGGTGCCCTCTGCTGACTCAGTTAACCTTTCCTCAGTGCTAGCATCTAGTACTTTATCTAAGAAGAAAAATGAGAGGATCATAAACTCTGAGTTAAGAAGCAGACAAGAACCTCCATGGGGAGAACTGGATGTTAGGGAATGGGCTAAAACGTGAGTTATATGAAATGCATTTTGAGTCCTTTTCCAGTAGGTGTTGTCATCTCGCCTGTTAACATAAGCTGTTATCATGTCTGAAGTTACACTTTATTGTAGTGACATTTGTAAGCACAAAATATCGTATTCAGCTTGAGATGCAAATCCTTTTTATTCTTAAGTAAAGCCTGTTGCTGCATAATGTTGTTGCATATCATTATTTTACTTGTTATGTGTAAATAGTATATGTTGTGTACTGTCCTCTTTGCTGGTAGCATATTTGTAAATTTGGCCTTCTGAGCAGTTGTACTTCTAGTTGTATGTAGCAATGATTATGTAAAAGGGTTGATATTTGTACTAATTTGTGATCTTGTCTTTCTTTATACCATATACAGTCAAAGGTGGGTCATTGAGGCATAAATAACAGCATGTTCTTTGGTCTTTGCTATTCATTCTGTCTTTTTGTATGCATGCGGCATGTTATCGTGCATTTAGCCAAGAGGCTCATGTGCATGTTGACTTTTCTTTGGCTCAGAAGTTTTGCTTCTTTTAATTTGCAGGTTAGCATTGATTTGTTTAAATTGCATGATTGTTTCTTCTTTTGCTAAATCTATATTAAATCAGGTACTTTAAACTTTAAACTGGTTACTTTGTCCAGCTAGGGTGTCCTGTGGTGTACTGAAACTGTTTTATCTATAAGTTGAATTATATCTAAATTGTATATATACTGCATCATTTCCCTTTTGATATAAATATACATACCCATAATTCTTTTTGTATATTCTGAGGTCAGTAGTTCTATATTCTCTGTACAGGTAGCACCCATCCCATTATTGTTTAAACCATGTATTTTTGCATAATTATTTTTGACTTGACTTGATTATTTTACTCATACGCATGTTACTTTTACCATTGTTTTTTATTCTAATCTGACTTCTCTATGTACCCTTTCCAAAATATACTGAACTATTTTTAAATAATTATCTAAAATTGTAGAAGTTAAATTTATAATATTTTAGATGCATCTGACCTTCTAAAATATGCTTTTTGAGAGCAAAAAATCTAGCTGCAAAGTAAAACAAGTAATTTAGATATTTATAATTGGCTTGATTGCTAGAAGAGGTAGATGTATTTTGCAGATAAGATGAACCAATTTGGCTTCTCACTAGTTAATTTAGTAAATGTTGTGATGTGAAATATGTCAGATTGAATATAATTAGGTTTTTGAAAATTAACAGTTTAAATAAACAAAATACAGATCTGCTATCTTCGATGATTATGGATATTCCAATTTATTGTTGCAATGCATACATTGAAGATTTTGACTGTTGTTTTTTAATCTTACAGGCCAACAACACCACCTACAGATACCAAAGGAAACACTTACTTTGATCCAACAGTAAGTCTGAATCAAAGACCATGGATTTAGATCAACCCAACATAATTACAAATATGGAGCCTAAAGATTCAGTCAACTGTTTCTTAAGACCAAACACAGTTAATGCCAAAAGTCTTATTTGAATAATAAAGGATTTTCAACTTTCTGGGGAGTCTTTCAAAATGTTTTTTAAAACTGTTCCAGGTTCCCAGTAAGGCCAATCTTGCTGGTCCCCCCAGACCTGGGGCCCACTTATTTGAGGGTCTTGGTATGGATCTAGGGGGTTTAGGAGATGACTCCTACAGGGCACCTGTCCAGGACATGCCTGCTGCTGTGATGGAGAGAATGTCCAGGTCCTATGCCTCCTGGCTACAGTGGTGGAAAAGTACCATTAATACTGATGATTACATGAAGTACTTGTCAACTCAGGTTAGTTGCTATTCTAAAAATATGTAGGTTTGGGAGTTATGAATTTGTTTTTGTTTAGACTGGGATTAAATTTTCAGACATTTTATACGACAAATATTTTTATAGTTTCAGCTGTTTCATAATGATATATATAAATTTTATTCAATGATTCATAAAAACTGTATTGATTTACCAACACACTCTTTTCACCTTTTTTTAAAATGTTATTTATTTATTATAGGAATCTGATTACATGGGAGTCATTTGTCATTTTTACAACTCTGATGATGAAGGTGATGAAGATGAGACTGCTAGGCTTAAGTCTAAAGAAGCTAAGGAAGCAGCAAAAAGGTAGAGACTTGCCCCAAAAGATAAAAATGTCTTAGAGGTTTTCTTTTCTATGTTGATGGTTAGCTGCCCCCCCTCCCCCCATTTTTGTATATTATTCATATTTGATAGAAATCAGTTTATCCCACAGTATTGAACTTTACTGACAACCCATTATAATTGATAACCTTTTTAGAGCAAGAGAGGAAAAGATAAAAGAGATGAGAGTACAAAAGACAGAATTTCAACCAGGAATGTGGAATGTAAACACCATAATGTTAGGAGGACTTGGGCGGGATCCTGAGTTGGAAGGTAAGAGACTGGAAACTGATACAGGCACATTTGCTACTTGTAGAAAGGGGACTTAGCATGTATCTCTCACAAGTTATCATGAGAATAGGAGAAAAGACATGTCAAACTTTAGTTTTTTCAATGGAATGTATATATTTACTGAAAATTTATAATATTATTTTAACTCATTACAGAGGAAGAAAAAGAAAAGGAGAAGCCTGCAGAAGAAACAGTAGAGAAACCCAAGAAATCAATCTCCTTGATTTCAAAGAAATCTAAAGAAGTTTCCCAAGACTCATTAGATCAGCCCCCCAGAGATAAATCTAGGTATTACAAAATAAATTTACATATTTTGTTTTATAAGAAAAATTCATTTCATACATCTAGATAGGTATAGGGGTTTCATAAAATGGAGATATGTTGATAATACTATTGGTAAAAAGATCCTCAACAAAGCACCAAATGTAATGTGCTGTGGCAGTCTGCATTGTTAAGCTCTTGAAAAGCTTACACTAAATTACATATCCTAGCCCTAATAGCCCAAATTTAAGGGCAAGTAGCCTAAAAAGTACTTGGCTGAGACTATGAGACTACTAAGACCATAAAGAACTGTATTATATTTTATCATTATATACATGGTTTCTTATGATATCTTTTATCATGAATCAAGCAATTTTTTTTTTGGTTTAAGCAGATTTTTGATAACTTTTGCTTATAAATTTATTTTAGACTGAGTGACAGAGGAGCGTCCAGATTAGCAACACAATCAAGAGGAGGAGAAACTGTGAAAAGTAGTGTAACTGGAATGGTAAGATAAAACTATTTAATGCTTCTTAAAAAACTAAAATATTTCAGGGAAAGTGCCACTTTGGTCAGTCTTTAAGTATATTAATGATGCTGAAAAAAAAAACACTCACCCTTTTCTATTGAATGGAGTAAATAATCAGCTTAATCAGATGTGAACTTGTTGCATTTCACAGAAACTTACACAATTTGATTTGTAAATTATTTAATGAGGTGGGAACAATTAATACCATATTTTAAAAATTCAAATATATTGATTTTATGCACTTTGAAATAACTAATACAGCTGCACACACCATTTGTTTATAGAAGACTCCAGCCTCTGGTGTCCCTCCCTCCACAGTGGGCACCCCCCAGGACCGCCTGGAGCGTGTGTGGTCTGCACTGAAAATGCCAGACAACAAGAAGCTGGACATGGCTATCAAGTACAGTTCAGAGGAATACATAGGATTACTTGAAGAGGTATGATCAGAATGCACTTGAGCTCTATTGCCCATGCCCATGTTTGAAACATAACTGTGCACATCTACATTTTCTTATGTGTAACATAAGCATGTATAATCTTATTTATTTACTGCATTTTGAAGATGTGATCATATTACTGCTGTATTGTTTTTTAGATTAATGGTAATATTATATTTTGCAGTCAATTGAAGCCTGGGAAAAGTCAACAGACCTTATCTTGTTAAGAGAAGGATTTATAGCAAAATTGGAAAAGTTTGAGAGGTTAGCCTCAGACCCAAACAGGTTCTTTGAAAAAGGTGAGCAGTTTTATTTGATGGTTGTTATAATTTATCTGACATTTTGGCTAAACTAGAGCTTTATACTAGTTTTAAGTAAATGAAAAAGATAATTTGGGAAGATATTATGACCACATGTATAAAGCCATTTTTACGATAAGTGCTTCATAAATGAACCAGTTTGCTTTCCATATGTTATTACAGGTAACATATAGTTTTTCAACTTCTGCTCCATTAATTACAGGTTACAGAGGTTCTTCAGTGGCTAGATTAGGTGAGGCAAAACAAAGGAGCTATCTTTATAAGGTAGGGGCGATCACAGAGTTTCATGCAAGTTTAATAAAAAAATTCTAACAGGACTTTACAGCAGCAACACTGGCATTTAAAATATTTTTTTAAAAAAGCTGGTAATTGGTTTGTGGTGTTAAAACGCTGCTACTCCATTTTAATTTATAACTAGCTACAGTCAAAGGAAATTTTCCATGTTAATTTGTATTTATATTTATTTAATTATTGTTACCATTATTATTTTTTTTAGAAAATTGAAGAACTGGATTCTTTAGTGAAGAAGGCAGTGTTGAATGTTAGAGACAAGTACCAGGATGTCATAACATATGCGGTAAGAGAAATTTCCAGGTGGTTCATAAAAGAATACCCTAATCAGCCCTACATTAGTGCATATGATATTTAGGATTGGCAGGACTATGTTTTGGTTAAAACTCCGACTTATATTGAACCTAAAAGGTACCCATCTGTTCTAACTTTGTCACCATAGTGGCAAGACTGCCACTCATTTGCTGAAGCTGTGAATGCTAGGTTTTTATTTGCAATTACCAGTCGATGGCAACCCACTTGTGTACACACCATATATCTACAGGTTTTCAAGATATCTGTAACAGTTGAAAAGATCATATATCTGCATTTTCTCAGATTGTTCCATTAGAATTTGAATTTATGATTTCTTTTTAGTTTGCAGATTTTTAAACAAAGTTCTTTATTCAAGTTTTTCATGGGTATTTCATACAAGTTAACAATCTAATAATACGATATTTAGACCCCATTCCCACAGATTTTAGATCGATCTATCCCTGTGGGGAGTCTCACTAGATTACTGTCAGCTTAGCCGGCTTAAGTGTCTGTCCCGCCTACTAAAAGCTGTAAGGGGGTAATTGACTACCGTGCGTGCTCGGCTGACAGCAATTTAGCGTGAACCCCCAGGGAGTTAGGTTGATTTAGATGGATCGATCTAAATCTATGGGAATGCAGTCCTAGTCTAGCTATGTATTTCTTACAAAGGGATTATTCATGGGAGCCAGATTTCAAGATAGAAGCAATATTTGTAGTTCTTGTGCTGACATCTGAAGCTCAGAGCAGAAAAGAAATCACATGGAAAAGATGTACTATGTTTGTTGAGAGTAATAACAGGCATCTTTAATATTTTGCCAAAGGCATCCCGTTTTCATATAGTAAAATTAAGGGAAACTCATCACAGCTAGATAGCTAAAAATTTAACACAAACAGCATATACCTGTGCAGGAAAACATTAACAGATGTATTTTGATATTCCAGGGCCGTCCATATCTAGAAAAGCTGAAATGGGACAGAATAGAGATGTTGTACTGGTTACAGGAGGAGAGGAGACAGCAGGCACTGGAACAAGAACAGATGTACAGAGATGCAGTCGGCCTAAGGATGACACAGCTAGAGCCAATATTGCCACAGCAGACGTGACGCACACACATGCTGTATTGAATTCTCTATAAACCAAATGAACAGTGCTATTGTACCATTCACACATTAAGACTCTTACAATAGTACAATTTGCAAACGGATGCCTTTAACAATAAATTAAAGCACATATAAAAACACTTCACTTTCAAACAATGCTCATTTTAACATTTATTTGAAAACTACTATAATAGTTTCTGATTATATTTTTCCGCTTTTCAGTCCACTTAATTTATTGTTGAAAATGATTACTGTACAATCATTGTATTTTATGTGTTCATTACAAAATTAATTTGTAAACAACCTTGTACATAATGTAAATAAACCAATATTGCTTACCAATATTTCCATTGTCATATTAAATTATAATTTATTTGTTTTCCTTGGGTGCCACAATTAATAAAGAAAAGAAAATGCCATTAAAACACTTCTTAATGAAAACCACTGCAGCTCACCCATAGCCAAGTTTAACTGCACCTTGTTCAGGCTGCATGCAATTGGTCTCAAAATACAACCCTTTTTATGTTCTTGTAACATACTAAGAATCTTCTTGAGATTTTTAATTTCTGCCATGCTTCACTTCTTCTGCAATGTACTCTTTTTTGTTAACAGGAGCCTCATAATCTTCTGGCAGATAAGGCCTCAGATTAAATTCCCTTTCTTCTGGCTCAATAAGAAAACATTTTATCAATGTTTTCAAAACCTCGTCATTGAATCCTTTGACTTCTCCATCTTCCACAGTGTCATATAGGGCGAGTTCATCGAGAGCCCAACAGATATTCCTTTGGGGAATAACCTCATCAGACTTCCATTGCTCAAGGGTGTTCAGCTGGTATGCAAAAAAACTGAACCTCCTCCCATCACCCACAATAGTCTGGCATGTAAGAGGGTATGTCAAGTTGTGATACATGCTAAAACCTGTAAAAAAATAGATACAGCACCAATATATTTATTATAAAAAGTAGGTTTATTTATTATTTTTAAAAAGTAGGTTTACATATTATTTGACCATATGGTTACTGCATTAGTAGTTTGCATGTACTTATAAGTGACCAGTTGAACAGTCAACCATTAAGGCTTGGATGTAGATGCCAATTTCAGTTGAGTGAATTAAGAGAGTAGGGCACAAATAGGCTTAAACTTTCAAGCATCCACAGTATTTACAGTATACCCAGAAGATAAATAAACAACATTTTTCTGGAGTTTCAAAGGAGTTGTTTATTATATATCGCACAGCATGCACACATACATATCTATTATATATAGCAAAAAAATGTCTGTTTATGTTCACACTGCCCTGAAAGAAATTTTATTTGTAAAAGGTAACTAGACAGCAAAGCTGGCAAACATACGTATATTATGCAGAAAAAGGCACACATGTTTTGGCCAATTTTGATCCACTGTTACATAAAGCTCAAAAATGGCATAATCACTCTCGCCCTCTTACCTTACATACTACAGGTAACATGGACATTGAAAAACTAGCAAGTGATTCAGTTCCATGGGATATAAAAACCAATAAAAATGCTGTGTAAAAAATGCAAATTTCACACACACACACACACACACACACACACACACACACAAACAAAAAAAAAAAAAAAAAAAAAAAAAAAAAA